CCTCCTCCTCCCCCACCCCCTCCGGAGTGGAGGCGCGGGGGCGCCTGGCGGCTCACCAGGCGCCTCGCCCCCCCCCCCTCCCCGTACACCCCGCAGGCGGGGGCGGTCGGGTGGAGAGCGGCCTGCTGGCACTCCGGGGCCGCGTCTTCAGCATGTTCGGCCTCCTCCTCCTGGAGGGCGGCGTCCGCACGCGAGAAGGAGGGGGGAGGAGGAGGAGAAGGAGGAGGAGGGGGAGGAGGAGGAGGCGGATACTGAATATTGAAACTCTAAGAGGATAGTGGTTCAAATTGATCACACCAGCAGCTCAAGGCCCTGGCGCGTGCACATCAATGCACAACGTTCGGCGACTTTGCCAAGCCTGAAGACAAGCTAACCTGAAGCAGCTTGCCCTTTCAGACGAATTCTCTCGGCGAGGGCAGCCATCCTGGACTCATAGGTCGGGGGGCCGTCGGAAACATGAGCTCTGGAAACCAGGGTGGTCTCAAGCTCGGGACGCCTCGCAGCACGAGTAACAGACTGCTTAGCTGGGAGCATCAACCTGACGCGCGAGCCTCTTGTGTGGGCCCACTCCCTTACGCAAATCAGCAAGGACCTCAAGCCCCTTCTTAGTGGGGGGCTCGCAGGGCCTTCGCAACTTATTTCGCCTGGACTGCTGAGCCCAGGCGCCACACTTACTGCACACATACAGTGGCTGGATTCAACCTGGGCTAGCAGGGGACTTTCCCCCCTGATTCACGGCAGTGAGCGTGTGACCAAGAGGGTTACGCACAAACTGAGCTAAGTATGCAGGCGTGCCTCTACATCCTGTCATGGGCTTCTCATGCGTGTCACTCGCAATACACAAACACTTACTACATTGCTCACCTAACACAGTGCGCTGCCACTCGTGCCAGCCCGTGCGCTGAACGTGCACTGTGCGCTGCGAAGGCTTCAGACACGCCCAACGCTCCTCCCTCTCGAACAGCGGCAAGACGGCGGCAGCCAGCGCGACAAAACCATTTGCAATGCGCACGCCCTCCTCGAGCTGCTCATCGAGCTTCTGCGGCAGAGCCTCTTGCAGCAGGACGGCGCGCTTGGCATATACATCAGCCACAGTGTTGGCGTCGGTCAGTCTCGTATTAGCAACAGATAACTCAGCATACTGATGAGAAGTGCGATGAGCTTTCGCATGAGTGCCCGATCTATTGCGATGGAAACCAGGCATCAGCTGACCGAAAAACTTGACGCATCCATACCGCGCACCAGGGCGCAGCTGCTCCTCCGGACTCTTAGCGGCCTCGAGCGCAGCAGCCATGTAGTCAGCAAGCGCATATGTCGGCCTGTCCGACACCTGCCCGACGCAGGCCAGCGCGAGGTGCTCGGCCATGGCCGAGCGCTGGTTGCCTTGCGGGTCCAGCAGCGCCAGAGCCCAGCCCGCGCGGCGAGCTGCAGCAAGAAGCGGCACGCTGCAGGAGCCGTCCACGGCAATCTCCACCGACGCCACGTTGGAGCCGATGATGCTGCAGAGGGTCTCAGGCTCGCAGTCAGCCTCTTGACCATCAGCATCAAGCAGGTGGGCGGTCTTGCCACTGTCTAGCGGCGGCAGCAGGCGCTCCTCGCACGCGAAGGACCCCGTGACGTAGCGCAGGTCGCCAACCGCATCGCAGCCCTCCTGGAGGAAAGTTGCTGACTTTACTCTCAACTCGAGATGCAATGACATCAGCTCGGGCGCAGGAGTAGAGCCTGTGATGCACAGTGTCAGGCTGCCCACAACTGCAGAGGCCATTGGTATCATATCCACGATCTTTTGCCCGACTGCGAGTCCACAAACCTTTACATGCACAAGTACGAACGAGAAACTTCTGATACTTGGTGTGCTTGGCCGAGCGCTCTCGCACAGCACCTTGGATGAGCTCATGCGTCGCACGAACTCCAGCAGGCAACTCCCACTGTCAGCTAATTGACATTCGAGCATCTGCTGCATCGACACACTGAACAATTCTTCAACGACAGCCGGTGAAAGTTGATCAACTCGAACCTCTTGATCAAGGAGATCACGCCGCAGAGCTGCGCTATGCATGGTCCAGCCCACGCGCTCCAGGCAGAGCGCCGCTCTCTCAAGCGGCCCACGTGACTTGGGCCAGCTGAGGGGGCGGCCCAAGTAGGTGGCGGCAGCATCCCACCAGAGAAAAATATCTTCCTTGGACACAAGTGCGCGCCCAGGACGAGGAACTGCCTCCCACAGCATGCGACTGTACTGGATGACGGGAGGGATCGCCTGACGGATGGCAGGGTCGCCATCCAGCGCCAGCTTGGACGCGGCAGAAGCTCCACCGTGGTAGGGCTTGACCTGGCGCCCGTAAGCGCGACGGAGGTCATTGAGCTCTGAGTCAGTGAGCCCATTCACTTCCACTCCGCACGTGCAGGCAGGGCGCGCTCCAGTGCGATAGATCCTTCCCAAGTCGAAGATCTTTCTTGACAGGGAGCGCCTCTTTGTACTTAGAAATCTTCCGCATGCGCAACTTGTGACGAATGAGACGGCTACGCTGCTTCACCCGAACGCCTGGCGCCCGACGAGCGCGCCCAGCAGAATAGTCTACGCCAGGGTAGGAGACCACACGCTTGACGGCAGCAACTTCAGATACCTGCAACTGCTGGGCGACCTCACGGCCAAGCTCAGCACTGGAAGCGATGATGGAAAACTTATCATTGATGCGTGAGCCAAGCCTCTCAGCCACCTGACGGAAATCACTCCCAGCTTGGACGGCAAGCTGGACGACCCTCTTCGCATCAGCGTGATGCAGACCGATCGCGGTGTCGTCAATGTAACTGGAGAAAGAAGCCAGCGGATGGAGGCAATCATACCTGTCATATGCAGCCAGCGCGTGTACCTTGATGGCAATATCAGCTACGCCGTCACCTGCCGACACTCCGCGCCCTGCGAAACCAAGACACTCTCCATGATGGCGCTGAGACCTGATGATGCTCGGGCCTCGCCAAGTGTTGGAGATGAGCTCAGTGAAACCAGTGGGCGCCTGCATCTGGTCGAACTTGAACTGCAGCTCGTCGAGCTCTATCTCATCATAGTGCTTCGAGTGATCTGCAACCAGGGTAATATAATGCATCTTAGTGGACGCGGCAACCTCAGTGCGCGCCGCCAAGGCCCAAGCGTTATCAATAGCAGATCTGCCAGTGGAAACACCCAATACTTGCGATCAAGGAACTCTTGAAGTGGCTCAAGGTGGACACGCTTGGCACGCTGCCACACACGGTCGCAGGCAGCATCGACCACGATCAGTCTGTGCCCTCCGGCCGGTTTGGGGGGCATCGGGAGGAGGATCCACTGCAACTGCTTCGGCAGCAACCCGAGGGCCTCACTGGCCTCCCAGAGGGCACTCAGCACGTTGAGCGCATCATCGCTCAGGAAGGCGAAGCACCGCGGGTGGATGCCGTCGAGGCCGCTGGCAGTCGACGACGGGCAAGACGTCGCAGCCGCCCTGATCTGCTCAGGCGTGGCTCACGATTAGGAATGCGACCTCGCTGTGCCTGCAGCTTGCCATGCCACACCTCCATACTGCTCCATATCGCGAACGATGTGATGAAGGTGGGCAGTGGCGCCGCGAGCACCTCGAACGACCGTCGGCTGCTGCGCATCCTTGACCTTGGTGATGCGGTGAAGGCCGCGCGCACCTCCAGCGCTGGCATGATCACACCAAGCCTTCCAGCGACTGCTGCTGTCTCGCCCAGCCTCCTGGTTGACGACCTGGAGGTCCTCCTCAATCTCATCCAGCAGCCCGCGCAGGTTGTCAATGCGCAGCGGCACATAGGCGATTAACCTGTGAGCTTGCTCCACCGTGGCATCGGGCCTGTGGTTGAGACTCTGTCCAACATATACCAGCGACTGGAAGGACTCGATCTCGGTAGCAAACTTGCTGGCAGGAGTGACGATGGGCTGTCTGTCGAGTTCAGACTCCGATTTTTGAGGATCAGCTTCCAGCGCAGTGGGCGACGCGGCCACAAAAGCGGCCTCCCCCCGACTGTCTCTCTCCCTAGCCGCCGACGAGGCGACCTGGTCCACAAGGACCGACGCTGCCTGAGCACAGTCAGCAGCTCTCAGAGAGACAAGAGAGGGCCCAATCCCGAGACAAACCTGCCCACGAGACCCAACAGGGGTGTTGGCGCTGGCATGTGGCCTGGATCCGATACTAGATCCACTCCCACTCTGAGTAGCATCTCCCCCATTCAGATCTGCCTCGAGGTCGGCGAACGGGTCGCGGCCCGCGGCGCCCATGGCGTGATCAGGCTCAGTGCGCGAGCGCGGCGCTGCCAGCGCCGACGACGCGGGCGCAGCTGAAGGCCCAGTGCGACCGCCAATGAATGGAGCAGACTCTCCGAGCTGGATGATATATGTGATGGCGCTGTGAGGCCACCGCCAACCTTCAGCTCGGGCTTGGACGCCTTCGGCGTCCTTAGCTTCGTAGCTGACCTCGACCCAACGTGGTGTCGGACATCTGGCGAACGAGCTGGAGCCCTTCACCTCAGTAGCCGTGACGTGGGAGAGCCTCTGGGCTGCGCGAACGACAAACTTGGCCCATGCAGTAGAAAGAAAACCCCAAGCACCGTCTGCACGTTGATGCTTGGCTAAGACCACGGCATGCTCAGCATCGGAAGCCTCTGCGGCCCAAGATGTGTCTTCTGGACGCCAGGGATCCTGGGCGCCATGCCATAGGCAATGTACTGCAAAGACTGTCCATCAACTGCTATCTCCAATTGAACAGGGCGATGAAGCTTAATGGGCCAAGCCATATCAGCATATACACGTTTGAATGGCCGCATCGCAGCCGAACTTAATGCAAAGGAATATATCGTAGAGCACGAATGCGCAGTGCGGCAGGTCACAGCGTTCGGGACGACGAGGCGGACCTGCGCATTAGCTGGGAAGGTGGACTCCTCCACCTCACCCGCAGACATGTTCCAGTCGCCGCCTATGATACACGGCTCAAGTACACCCGACATCTCTTCCCCAACAGCGCAGAGAACACGAGCGCTACGGACTGCCATACCCTCTGCCGTGCGCAGACAGATGTTAAAGATGTGAAGCGAGCCCCGGCCAGGCAAGTCAACAATCACATGCTGAGCCCGCTGCGGCGACAGCATCGACGAACCGCGACCATCAGGCCAGCGCAGGCCGACCGCGTTGCGGGCGAACACTGCCACGCCAGCAGAAGGCAGATAGCCTTTGGTCGGGCTGCCTGCAAGAGCGATCACCTGCCAGCCGCGCGCGCAAGCCCAGGATTGTAGCTCTTCAACTTCGTGTTCATGGCATCCAGTCTCCTGAACGAGCACCACCAGCGCCGGCGTCCTTTCAAGCCGTCGCTTCAGAGTGGGCTCACCCTGGTTGGCGTTGAAGGTCTCGAGCAAGTGCGACTGCTGCGAGCTGGGCGGCGCATCGACGCGTGGGAGCTCGCATCGTCGCAACCGCAACCCGCTCACGCGGGGCTGGTGGTTAGGCACACCCCCTGGCGCCTGGAGCAGTCGGGGTGGTGCGCCCTCGCTTTGCCTTGTGCATCTCTCCGACGAGCTCGTGCAGACGGGCGACCAACTGCTCCTCAGACTCACCATTGGAAGATCCTGCTATCTTGAACTCTTCGCACATCCGTCGAACGTCGTCCATGCCGAGCGGGGGCTCAGCACCTCGCTTGGCAGCGCCAGACTTGTGGTCCAACTCATCATCATCACGAGCGCCACCAGCAGGCTGAGCCTGAGACTGTTGCTGCGGCGCCATGCTGATCTTGACGTGCTTGGCCAGCATATGTTGGAGGGTGCTGAACCGCGGGTCGGTCGTGAATTGCTGGTAGAAGGTCGTGAGCTCGGGCTGGGCGTCGAGCTCGGGCACCTCCACCTGCAGGAAGTCAGGCGAAAGCACTGGTGCTGGCGGAGGCTCGGCCGCCGCAGTAGTGGGTTCGCCGCGCTGCTTCGACAGCGCCACAGTACAGTTGCGCACCTCGACAATGAGCTGGACGATCCCGGCCTCCTTCTGAACGATGGCTGCCTCCTTGGTGTCCAACTCCTCTTGTAGCTTTGCGATCTTTTTTCACGGCGGTCAGCAGCTTCTGTACGGTAGCGGTAAAGCTGGGTACGGCAGCGCTCGAGCTTCTGCGCGGCAACTTTGTGCGCCGTCGACGGCGGACGCAGTTCACGTAGTTGAACTCGAAGTGCCTCCAGCTGCTTCTTCGCTGCCAGTAGCTGCTCACCTTCACTGTCTTCATACAGGGCGAGGGGCTTCACGAAGTGCTCATAGTGACCAATCTTGGTCTGGAGGGCATTCCGCTGAGACGCCGTCGCCGACGTGTCTTTGGCTCCCGCAGTACCATCGTCGACCGCCATGGCTGCCTCAGACGTGCCATTGGGGGCCGCCTCAGATGGGGCGGGCACCTTGTTCTTCTCGGACTTGAGCAGCTGGACCTGCTTGCGCAGCGCCACCAGCTCCTTCTCAAGCTTCGACGAGGCCCAAGGCGCCAACTGTGACGAATCGAGCCTGCCGCAACCGCTGCCTCCGCCGCGCGAAGGAGGCTGCCCCTTCGGCTTGGCCCCAGCTTTGGCTTTCTTATCTTCTTGACCAGCCTTCGCGACAACTCGCTGCGGCGCCCTCGCTCCACAGCGGCATCGAAGGCGACATGCCCAATTGCTGGCCGTGCCACAGCGGGAGCAACCCCAGTGCGGCCGCTTGGGCCCAAGCAGCAGCGTCCCTGCGCCGTCGCCCGCCATCGTGACCCTGGAACCCGTCTCCAGACTCTGGTGGTGGAGCTCGCGCAGCCGCACGCCACTGCGGGGGCACACTCTTCACTTCAGGGGGGTGCGCGTCCCTGGAGCTGAAAGCAGTTGGTTGCTGTCCTCGGATCAAAGGTTTCCACTTTGACCCCGAGGGAATCGGACATCTTGAGCCAAAATGGCTACGGAAGGAGGAGGAGGCGGAAGCGGAGGAGGGGGAGGAGGAGGAGGAGGAGGAGGAGGAGGAGGAGGAGGAGGAGGAGGGGGAGGAGGAGGAGGAGGAGGAGGAGGAGGAGGAGGAGGAGGAGGAGGAAGAGGAGGAGGAGGGGGAGGATGGCCATACGGTCGCTGTGCGAAACAAGGAGCGAAGCTCCTCTTTGACACAAACTGGTGGGCTTGCTTTTTTCCACTGCCATCACCACAAATAGGAGGGGGAGGGGGTCGTCCTCCTCCTCCTCCTGCTCCTCATCCTCCTCCTCCTCCTCATCATCATCATCATCCTTTTCATCCTCCTTATCCTCCACCTCCTTCCCCTCTCCAACTTATGGTGTTGGTGGTGGAGCACGGGCCCATCACCAAACGAGCCTGAATGCACGAGGAGGGCTATAAGGAACAACCCTTGGAGGACCGAAGGTTCATCGAGCCCCTGCCAAACCTCAAACCGTTCCTTGGTTCAGCGTCTTGGCTGCATTGGGATGGGGCCCCCCCTCGTCAGCGCCGAGCTTGCACCTCCACCAGAAGCAGCTCCTTCCTCCACTGGCTCGCCATCGTTCGGACGTCCATTCCCGGTGCATGTTTCGGTTTCGTGCACAGAGTTCTCGCACGATGATCCAGGGTGTTCTGCAACGGACAAATGCACATGTCCGGGCGATGTCAAGCCACTGGTCGAACGCCACCCAAGTCGGAGGGAACTCAAAACCATGCAGCCTCGCAATCTCCAAAGTGACATCCAAGGTCCCAGAAGCCTCCCAGAGCGTCAACAAACCCCGAGTCGGCGAATACTGCTGGGCCCGCGAGGAGGGGGACGGGGAAGGAGCAGGAAAGGAACAGCGATAAGTGCGCGCAAGATTTCTATCCATACCAACTGCGTCTTGAACCTTCTGGGGACGGGGGCGAAGCTGATATGAATCAAGTTCTAACCTTCGGATTTGCTATCACTTGCCATCGCTCGGACGGCCATCCTCCATGCATTGTTCGGTTTCGTTGCCAGATGATCTCGGATGCTCCTCGGTAGTCCTCGCCGAGAATATTGCACACGTCCCAACGATGACAAATTTGTATCCACTGCGCCTCTGGTATCTCGGGCAGGCCACCCGACAATCCAAGACGGAGCAGCTGTGTACGCACATCCTGCCCGCACAGAAGGAGGAGCGCGAGGCTGCTGGCGATACCAAACGAGGAGTGGGCGGCGAGCAGGCGGAGGACGAGGATGCTGCCCCAGAGGAGGAAGAAGGGGGGAGCGAAAGGGAGGAAGCAAGAGGAGCACTGGCCAGGCGCTCTGGCGCGACGCCTGTGCGGAGCGCCGGCCGTCCTTGGCGTGCACCGGCAGGCGACGTTCCGTGTCTTCAGTCTTCTGCCTCGCTCTCCTGATCCCCGTCCTCCCCGATCCCATGCTTCTCTGCCTCGCTGCTAGACACACCAGTGTGCCAACCTCCGCCCTCCGAATTAGGAGGAGGAAGGGGAAAAAGGAGAAACGCGGAGAGGCAAGGCAGGACGAGGCAGGAACCGGAGAAGGAGGGAAAGGGGGGTGATGAAGGGAAAGGTGAAGGGACTCGACTCGACTAGACTCTGACTTGAGTCCAGCATGTCATGACTCTTAGCAGTATCTTGCAAAACAGAAGAAAGGGGAGGAGGAAGAGCAGGAAGAGGACGTGAACGTTGGGGGAGAAACGGAGAGAACAGGGGGATCATGATGGTGAGAAGGGAGGGCGAAGGGGGGGAACTAACTGGGAGGACGACGAGGGGGAAACGAGAGAGAAGGAATGTGGAAGAGGTGAGACAGGGATGGACTACAGCACATGCGACTCGTGAACGCGAAGTCTTAGCTCTTGAGGGCCTCCTCACCGCAAATTATCAAAACTTTCCAAAGAAAGCTGTGACAAGCAAGCAGCCAAGATCCGAACGCATACGTCATGTACAGCTTTCTCTTCAAGCTTGAGCGTCAATACTCTAAGGCGTGCACGGCAAAGTATGGGGATGAGGGTCTCGCGGACACACCGCGCGCAACCCAATCGATGTCTGAGGATCCTCCTCTTAGGTCTTGATCGCGTTGTGAGGGCACGGTGTCACAAGGACACGTGGAGCAAGATTTAGTAGCCGCCGCATCTTGGTTGTTGGTCGCTCGCGCACAGCGGACTGACGAGCCCCACTGGCGAAACTCGTCTCAGCGCTTACAACTTTTCCATCCTGAGGTCGCCACGTCCAAACAAAAGCCAAGCTGCATGCGGCTAGGATTCTGAACTCGATGGGCCCCGTGAACATCTCAAGAAGGGTGGAAAATAGCAGCTCCGCTCCAAACCGGTCCCCGAGCCGCACCCGGCATATTTTCACCCCGGCTCCGTTTTGATGGCCCCGGGGCCGGAGAACGGCCCCCAGACGCCGAAAAGGGGAAAAAACCTGCTCGAACTCAGAACCTCGGAGCTGCCGCCCCTTTTCCTGCTGGCCAGGAGCAGTGCTGGGCCACCGCAGAGGCCCCAGACGGCTCCACAAAACAAGCAACCGAAATGAGGAGCAGCGACTTCGGTGGCAACTCAAGGGAGCCTCCCACGCTATCCTGGCTCTTAGCGAATCGATGCAAGTCGACGCAAAATTCACGATAGTCGACGCCTCATCGACACCATCTCATCGACTACCAGACGCTAGCGCACGCTGATGCACTCGGAAGACGGAATTGAAAGAAAGGGCATGTACGGCACCCATCACTTGCGACCGACGCGACAGCAGCGAGGATGCGGGCAATATGTATATCCAAATCGATTGAGTCTTCGAATTTCGGGCTTGCTTGCGCATAGGAACCAGACGCGCAGAGGGTCTGGCAAAATATTTGGTCAAATGAGGCTAACGTTTTATCCATCACCAGTGCGCCTCGGTCTTCCCGCGCCCCTTGTCAGAAAAGTCCAAGACGCAGTGAAAACGGATGTCAGAGTGAGGGGGCCGAGCGGTCCTTCACTGTCTCCCTGGGCGCGTGGCTGAAGTGGGGTTCTGTGGTGCGAATTGTTGTTGCGTTGTTGCTTCTTGTGTTGACCTGTCCCCTGGAAGAATCATATCTTTGGCCCCCCTCACTTTTGCCGTGTACTTTTCAATTGAATAGCCATCCTCGGGGCTCATACGCTGTTTTTGTTGTCCGGGAAACCTTCGTGCTCCAACTGCGTTGCTGGGCCCCGATCTATGACAACAACGACTCGCACCTGATCATTCTTCACAGTCAACTCCACAATCGCGCTCTAGCGCGGGATTGCCGCACGATGTATGCGTGAATCGCCCTCTCGCGTGGGACTTCCCCGCAATCTTTTCAAACGCCACGCCCTCGACACTCAGGAATCACGCTCTTATTTTGGCCGTTCTCGCGATGTACTTGGGAATCGTGCTAACGCTCGGGACTTTCTCTCGATTCCTGCAGGACTCACGCTTCAGCATCCCGCCTGCTCGACCTGGCCGCCTGGGCCCCACCTTCCCGACCCGCCCGCTGGGGTCTGTCCGCCTGATCCGCGTGTCTGGTTCTGCCACGGGTTTTCTCTTCCTAGCCCCCCTCTTGCTAATGTTGCTCGTGCTTTAGCAATCACCCTCCCCCTCCCATCCGTCCTTTCTTCCGCTGTTTTGGGGGCTGCGCTACATGCACATGGCGGGTAACGAAAATATATACCAAATGGGGGCACGATCGAAGACGAAGAGGGTGGGTACCGAGGCTTTGGGACATACGTGGCGAACGGCACGCGAGCAGATAGGAGCGAACAATTTGAAAAACTGTTGTTGTCGTCGTCCTCGCCCGCGACCTCCCCGCAACCCAACCCGCGACCCACCCCGCGACCCACCCACATCGCTTTGACGGACAAACACGCAACTGCGGGGGACCCGTGGTGTAACCTATGCGAAATCGTCACTTCCGGCAGGATGCTTCAGAGCCTTGCAAACTTGACGACCCCGCCGCCCCATCTCTCGTACCACCCCGCGACCACCCCGTGACCCACCCCCCGCGACCCACCCCGCGACCCACCCCGCGACCCACCCCGCGACCAGCTCCGCGACCAGCCCCGCGACCCACCGCGGCCCAACCCGCGCCCGCCCCCCTCACTCTGATCCGCAACTGCGGTGCTACACGCGTTCTCGTGGAGCACCCGCTGGCAGGCATGTCTACCCCACTCCGCAGATCTTGCCACGCAGACCGCGAATCTTGCCCAGCACGGCGTGGTGCCGCTGCTCCCTGGAGCTCTCCTGGGTTTTGCTCTGACCTGAATTTCGAAGCGAAGCCGAAGGTGGCGACGAAGGCCGCTCAGGAGGCCCAAAAATAGGCACCCCGACGGCAGGGGGGGCGGCAATGCCAGCTTGTGGTTAACAAATCCGTTGGGGGGCGCGTGTTTCAAGAAATAGTTCCCCTGCTCGGGCGAATCGCGGGGACGCGCCCGCCAAATTGAAAATCAACGTGGCGGCGCAGGTGATTAGCGCTGACGCCAGGCCGCCAACGAGAGGCAAGGGGGGGAGGCGGAAGACAGGGTGAGCCAGGGCGCCCGTTTGTCTTTCGAAACGATGCGGGCCTGCGGGCAAGGCGGGCTGGACGAAAGTGGGGAGCCGCAAAGGGGGGATTTGCCAAGCAGTTCACGTGGCCGATCTTCCAAGCACCTCCTGGCGCCGAAGGCGGCCATGCGTCGAGGACTGGCCCTTCGGCGGGGCGACCGAAACCAGCTGCGCGCAGCAGGCTTCGCAACCCCCACCCTCCTCTTTCTCCTCCTTTTTCCTCACTCCCCCTCCTCTCTCCTCCTCCCACCTGGCGCGCGCGATTAAGGCAAAACAGAATATCGCGCCCCGCGGGGTCTATTCATCAGCCCTGGGTGGGGGGTTGTTTATCCTAAGCTGACATTATGGGTACCTTTCCCTCCTCTGACGGACATCGTATATTTGATCCGCAACGGCGGGGCAGACCGCGTGGTCCTCTGCAAGATTGGTCGGGGCGACGCCGGGCAGTTTGGAGGGATCGGCCTCATGGCCGGTCTCGGACGCCCAGAAGGCCTACACGGCGGGATGCCACGCACAGTCAACCCGTATGGTAAGGACGCTCGGAAAGGATGCGAGGGCCTTGGAGGGCCATGTTAACGTTTTCCGAACGAAGCTGGCCAGGGAAAGTCGCCGAGGATGGGTCGACGGGGCAAGGGTGCAAGGTGACCTCTGGAAAGGTTGCCCAAACTCGCTACTCTGCGGGTCCGCTGTACAAATCCTGCCCGGCGAGGGTGCCGCGCGCCCAGCCCCCCCGATGGCGTTTTTTTTCACAGCGGCGACCCCCAAAGATCTCGACCCCTTCCCCGGGACCGCTTGTTCCTCCTGAGTCGTTTTTGTTGGCGAGCCCAATGCCCGGGAAAGGACCCCCAGATGCCGAACGTAGCGAAAACCTCCCGTCGTGATTTGTTTCACAATGCGAGGGGGTCTGGGGTTAGGCCGGGCAAGTCCTCCCACAACCAGATTTGGAACGAAAATGAAAAAATAGTAAACACAAATATTCAAATAAACTTAAACCTAGTCAAACAATCGTCCCCAGACTTTTGAACATTCCTCCTGTGAAGGGACGTGCTCGACTCAAGTCGGCTGCACGTAAAGGCGACCCTGGGTAAGAGTGACCTTCGGTGCGCGGCTTCCCGGGGTACGCGGGGTGACCAAGCACAGGCGCGCAAGCCGCTGCTGCCGCTTCGCGTTCGGCGATCGGAGGACCCCACTGGGCCCGCACCAAAGATCACTCTGGCGAAAGGTCACTCTTACGTGTAGGCGATTAATCGGCGGTGGACAAACCTCCTTTTAGTAGACCTCCCCTTAGTGAAAACGACCTGGGACCGAAACTGACGGACCTGGACCCGCAAAAATGACGGCCGCGACGCCCTTGCGGACCGAAAACGGCCAATTCCTTAATCGACGTGTCAGGGTAGGAGGTCTGTCCATCCCCGAATTTAAGTCTGGAGGAGGAGGAGGAGGCGGAGGAGGAGGAGGAGGAGGAGGAGAGAGAGAGGAGGAGGAGGAGGAGGAGGAGGAGGAGGAGGAGGAGGAGGAGGAGGAGGAGGGGGAGGAGGAGAGAGAGGAGGAGGAGGAGGCGGAGGGATGGAGGAGGAGAGAGGAGGAGGGGAGGCGGAGGAGAGGAGGAGAGGAGGAGGAGGAGGAGGAGGAGGAGGAGGAGGAGGGGGAGGAGGAGGAAGAGGAGGGGGAGGAGGAGGAGGAGGGAGGAGGAGGAGGAGGAGGAGGAGGAGGAACTGGGGACGAGGACGACGGCGGCCGTCTCCTCGCTTGCCTGCGCCTCCGGGGGCCCGTCCTCCGCCCGCGCGACGGCGCCCGCGGCCGCCCGCCCTGCGGTGCCGGCCGCCGGCGGGGCCTCGCGGGGTCTGGCCGCGGGGCGGCGCGAGCAGGGAACGAGGAAGGAGCAGGGAGCGGGGGGGGGAGGGGGACGAGGAGGAGGAGGAGGGGGAGGAGGAGGAGAAGGACGAGGAGGACGAGGAGAAGGAGGAGGAGGAGGAGGAGGAGGAGGAGGGGATCGAGGAGGGAGGCTCCTCGCTCGGGTGCGGCTGGGAGCCCAGAGCCCCTCGCGCTGTGGGAAACTCGCGGCGGGAGGTTCATCGCTATTCTCAGCTTCCGGGGCGCCTCACTGGGCGCCAGGACCGCTTTTTCAGCCTGAGTTCATTCGGATGGAAGGACCGGCTCCAGGGAAGGGGTCGAGACCTTGACAAAAATCACGTGGGATGTCTGGGAGGGTACCCCCCGGGATTTCCAGGGGGGCCACCACGGCCTCCAGAGAACCTATCTCGAGGCCCCGGGGGTCCACGGGCCTCCAGAACGGCTTAAAAGCTGGGGGCACCTCGGGCCAGAGGCACCTTTTTGGTAACACCCGAGTCGTGGGGTCCTTGGGTTTTTCCCAGAGCTCCCCCACATGCTTCGGGAGTCGGTGGCGTTGCGCTGCCTTGCCCTGCATTGCTCAGCACCGCTTCGCGGCGTCTCGGTGTGTGATGGGAGCCGCTCGTGCCCGCGTCGTGGGCAAGCCCGTGCGTTGCCTGGCTCACCCGTGCCTGCGCCACGGGCTCGCCCTGCCGTCCAGTCCTCCATGCCACCCTTTGCCTGCGCTGCTGAGTGAGCCTGCATGGGGGCCGCTGTGGACCTCCGCGGCCCTCTTGCAGGTGTGACTTCAAGGGCTCCCAACTTCGCGCTTCGCGCTGCGCGAAGCGCGAAGTGCGAATAACTTCGCGCTCTCGCGCCGCCTCCCAGGGGAGAAGAGGAGGATGAGGAGGAACGGAGCCGACTCGCGAAGCGCGAAGCGCGAATAACTTCGCGCCCTCGAGGGCGCCCTTGGACTTCGACCAGAGGTTGTTTTTTGGGATCCCCCCCGTAATCTACGTTTTCGGGGGGTGGGCCGGCACCCGTTGAGGGGGGGGCATGGTACTGTGGTCGGGCCCCAACGGGGGGGTCTGGGCGCGGGACGACGACGACAACGGCGACGACGACGACGACGACGACGACGGCAGGGACGAGAACTTGGACGAGGACAAGGGCGAGGACTAGGACGAGGACGACCACGACGAACGACGAGGACGAATGCCGCCTCTGGAGGCGCCTTGAGTATCTTCAAAGCCCTCGGAGACGAATACGACGACGACGCCGACGCCGACGCCGACGCCGACGCCGACGACGACGACGGCGACGGCGACGACGAAGACAACGAAGACGAGGGTGAGGACGAGGACAGCTTCCTCTCAGGGTCTCCAAAGGTCTCCGGAGGCCTCAGGAGGTCTCCATAAGCCTGTGGAGGCGTTGGGAAACCCTCCTAGGCCTTCAGAGACGACGACGACCAGGACGAAGATGAGGACGAGGACGGCCGACTCTGAGGGTCTCCAGAGGTCTCCAGAGGCTTCGGGAAGTCTCTGGAGGCCTCGTGGGGCGTCTGGACGCCCTTCGATGCCTGTCAACATCACACGTTCATGGCGCTATACCAGTGAGGGGGCAGGCCCCCCCCCCTGCGTTCATTACCACCCTGACGGGGTGAGGGTGGGCGACCCCCCCGTAACGGACGATCCGAGTTCAACGAATGAGATGTTCCTGGCAAAGGGCCCCACGATGCAGTTGTGAGTACCGCGTTGTGGGTACTGCTTTTGGTTGGATTCCCTATGGGCACACGACCCTGGTGATGAGTGTGCCGATATGGCCCCAGTCACGCATGCAGACCCTGTCGCTGGGGCCTCCGCTGGAGCTCCCTATGGGGCCCCGATCCTCGTGAGAAATGGGCGGGGGGACGCATGCGGACCCTGCCACTGTGGCCATCGGTGGAGCACCCTACCTGGCCACAATATCGTGAGGAGTGCGCCGAAATGGGCGGGGGGACGCATGCGGCCCTACCACTGGGGCCTTCGGTGGAGCTCCCGATGGGGCCGCTGGAGCTCCCTATGGGGCCACTATCCTCGTGAGGAGTGAGCCGAAATGGGCGGGGGGACGCAGGCGGACCCTGCCACTGTGGCCTTCGGTGGGAGCCCCCTGTGGGGCCACGATCATGCGGACCCTGCTGCTAGGGTCTTCGGTGGGACTCCCTTTGGGGCCACGATTCTTGCGAGGGGTGTGGAAGAATATGTAGGGGGTCGCATGCGCACCCTGCCGCTGGGGCCTTCGGTGGAGCTCCCTACGAGGCAGCGATCCTCGTGAGGGGTGTGACGAAATCGGCGGGGGGACGCATGCGGACCCTGCCGCTGGGGCCTTCGGTGGAGCTCCCTATGGGGCTATGATCCTCGTGAGGGGTGTGCCGGAATCGTGGACATGCAAGGAGAAGAGGCAGATCCGGGAGGAGGGAGGAGGAGGAGTTAGCGAGGAGGGAGTGGACGCGGGGCGCTGTATCTTCAAAACGAGGACCCAACACCACATAATAGTTGGGAATAATCCATCTCCCTGATTTGGTCCAGAGTTCGACCACCTCTTTCAACATGTCCAGACTTCGTATAGATGACGTCCAAATTTCGTCCAGATGTCTACAAAGTTCGGTCCAAATCCCCCAACCCGCAAGGAATTCTGGGACCCTCTCAGGCTCCCATGACGGACGACACAAGTGCTGTCCTCGAGGCGACGCTGGAGGATGAACAGCAATGACAAACAACTCGGGACACCCAAGTTACGTAGACACTCTACCGACACGTCTCCCGTCAGCCATGATGGCAGCACCCTTGCCTTTGGGTAGTTTTAACCAGACCCTGTGCGCAACTTCCTTCCACCACATCACCATGCCCAGAAGGAAGGGCGTGATGGCCCGAATCCTCGACTTTGGGGGTTTTCGGCTGGACTTCACGATTTGAGATCCAACTCGAAGATGCATGATTGGGGAAGTCCGTCCTCGATCAGCGTGCGTCCGAATTGCCCCCCCCCCGGTCTCTCGACAAGTTCATACCCTTTCCGGAGCGGCCTGAGTTTTCGGGATGAACTCGGGGATCGTGGGTGAGATGTCGCCTGCGACCCTCCTCCTCCTTCTCCTCCTCGCGTGGCGGCAAACATCACGACGGCGTTTTTCGGCCTCCAGCCCCCGGGGAGGGGGTCCCGTCCTGTGGAAGCCCACGTTGTGTAAAAAACACTCTTTGGGGTTCGGGGTCCTCCTCCTCCTCCTCCTCCTTCTCCTCATTCTGCACCTTCCGCCGGCCTCCCCCTCCATTCTCCTCCTTTTCCGCATCCTCCACCTCCTCTTTCCTCTGTCCGTAATGCGAATAATTTCTCCCTGTCGCACCCCCAGACGTGTCGGTAGGGCGGCTGGTAATTTCGCCTGAGACTTCCTCACAGTATATGGTCCTGAAACGTGGAAGGTGCATTCGCTTCAACGATGGGGGTGGGCAGACTATATAAAATACGGCTCCTGCCTAAGCGCCGCGCACATACGTCAAAGTTTGCAGTAACTTTAAGGATAGAGGGCGGGCAATGTTCAAAATGTGGCTCTCACCTGAGCGCTGCTCACATTCGTCGTTGGGTGTGTAGCAATGATAACGATGGAAAGCAGCTCCTGTTCAAACATTGGCTGCCTCAGCGCCGTGGGCAATCGCCTCCAAAGTTTGAAACAGCTTGTAAGCTTCGTACGTTTGAAATACCAGTGTCGGCGTTCTGGTGCGACTTAGGATTGCCAGGTCGCAACAATCACGTGTATTCGCGGCGTTGGAGTCCCACGGGCGAATGCTCTGGAGAGATCTAGGGTTATCAAGACACTGAAGTGACGTTTGATTTGCGGCGTTGATATCCCAAGAATGGTGTTCTGGCATGACTGGGGATTCTCAAACGGCTTTCATCGAATGGGGCACTCCCCGCCGTGGACATCATTTCTTACCTTATGGGGGCCTGCGAACAGGAACTTTGGAGGGATGGATTCGTGCAGAATCGTTGATGCGTCTTGGGTTGACGCTGGTCCTCCTTCTCCGCCTCCTCCTCCGCAGAACGACAAGATCTGCAGAATAATACGCAAACGATCGTAGTTTCACTCGGATTTTGGGGTCGGCCCTGGAACCACCTGACGGCGCCTCTGGCGCCGCCCTTGCCACACCCCGCGCGCCAGGGGGAGGGGGGTCCAGCGCCGATGAACAAAAATCTGCGCGGCTCTTTACGAATACATGCTCGTGCTGTGTTGTCTTCTTCGGTTCCTCCTCCTCTGTCTCCTCCTTCTCCTCTGAGTTGCTGCCTTTGATGTCAATTGCGAGATTGCGAGACCTCCCCCGTCTGTCCCCTCCGTCCTCTGATTGCCTCCTTCCGCCTCGTTCCTTGGCTGCTAATTCTGGGGACCATCCTGGAACCACTCGCTCCACTCGTGCATCGAAGCTGCGTCGAACGTCCATCGATTCGAACCGATTTTGAGTCGAACCTGAGTCGAACTTGAGTCGACCGTGAATCGAATTTGAATCGAACTGTCGTCGAACGGATCCGTCAGGTGGGCTCCAGGAAGGTCCCGAAAACGAGCATCTAACGATCCCCTCCCTCAGCCGAGGGTGCGCAGACTGGCCGTGCGTCGTGCACCGCTTCGGCAGCCACGGCTGGGCTCGAGCTCGCCCGTGCGTGTTCACAGCGAGTTCGAGGGCCCCATCGGCCAGGGAGGCAGGAGCACGCGCAGGAGGAGAGGAGGAGCGGCGGGAGGAGAGGTGGAGACGGAGCGGCAGGAGCAGGAGCGGGCCTCCCTCCTCTCTCCTCCCTCCTCCCTCCGCGTCTCGTTCTCCCTCCTCGTCGGCGGCAGCGGCGTCCCTAAATCCTAAACCCCCCTCCTCCTCCTCCTCCTCCTCCTCCTCCTCCTCCTCTCCTCCTCCTCCCTCCTCCTCCTCCTCCTCCTCCTCCCCCTGCTCCTCCTCCTCCTCCTCCTCCTCCTCCTCCTCCTCCTCCTCCTCCTCCTCCCCCTGCTCCTCCTCCGCCTCCTCCTCCGCGGCCGTGACCTCGCAGGCGGCGGCGGCGCCGGGATCGAACGTGAGGAGGAAAAACAGGGGATGCGTCGACCCCTATCCCAAGCTTCGTGGAGTGTCGAATGGACCAGCAATGTGGAAAGCGCGACCCAGGGATACAGGACAGGGGAGCGTCCATCCTCGATCGGGGCGCGCCCGACCAGCCTCTCCTGGGCAGATCCCCGTGCTTCCTGACTTTTCTGAGTGGGGGACGTGGGTCGGGGAGACGCAAGACTCGGGTTCGGGGACCGTCAGGAAAACGACAGGAAAACGACAACACCCGACGGGACCGACGGCAGGAAAACGACAGGAAAACGACAGGAAAACGACAGGAAAACGACAGGTTGGCCCGACGGGACCGTCAGGAAAACGACAACACCCACTCTGAACCTCGCGTCGGGCTCCCGCTGCAGACGTCCTGCGAAAGCTGGCCCGGCTCGCCCAAAGGCAGAACATCCAGGGCAGGGCTCGCCAAAAAGCGCACTCGAGCCTTGGTGTGGCTCCAGCGAAGGAACAGCAGGCGTGGCCTCCCGGCCACAGCTCGAGGGCCGACGACGGCGCCCGAAGACCTCGAGCCCTCGCGCCCCCCTGCGCCCCCCCAGGGTCCGCGGCACAGGGGCGCGGGGGGAAAGCCAGAGGAGGAACGCAGACTGCACACGCAGACATCACGGCGGGGACATTGGATAAGGAATCATTGGGCAAGGAGTCCAGGGTCTGGAAGCCAGTGGCACTCCAATCGCGGATTGGCAGTGGATCTCACCGCCGCCCTCACTAGACAAGGAAGCCACCAGGGTCTGAAGCCTCCTGGGCACAGTCCTTAACCATCGCCCCCACCGTAGCTTGCGTAACTCCGCGCGGATGTCGCGGAGCGGCCTGGCGGAGCCTCCAGCGCCGCTCCTGGCGCGCTGCACGCGCCGGAGCGCCCATCCAAGAAATCGGCGCGGGCCTCTGTCAATGAATGCTTATGCTGCATTATGCTATGTTGTCCTCTTCGGCCTCTCCTTCTCCTCCTCTGTCTCCGCATCCTCCTCCTGTCTCCTCCTCCTCCTCCTCCTTCTCCTCCTCTGTCTCCTCATCCTCCTCCTCATTTCGCAGCGATGCCTCCCGTAACGTATGCTCATGCAAGGTGTGCTTCTGCAGGGGGCGAGGCCCGCCTCCGGACACCCGACGGAGGCCACCTCCCTGCGCCAGGCGTCCACCTCCTCGGGAACGGGGGGGGGTCCTCCTCCTCCTCCTCCTCCTCCTCCTCCTCCTCCTCCACTTCGTCCTCCTCCTCGTCCTCCTCCTCCTCCTCCTCTTCGCCCTCCTCCTCCTCCTCCTCCTCCTCTTCGTCCTCCTCCTCCTCCTCCTCCTCCTCTTCGTCCTCCTCCGGGGGCGGGAGCGTTCGGCCGGGGTGCGGGAGACTGCGACGACATCGACAACGACGACGACGATTGCGACGGCGACGGCGATCACGAGGACGACGACGAAGACGATGGCGACGGCGACGACGATGATGACGACGACGACGACGGCGTGCGGTGGCAGCGGTGACGAGGACTGCTGGGGGGTTTGCCGGAGGTCGGTTAGACCGCCCCCGAAGATAGGAGTAAGTGATGCCATGATTCGGCCAACAAGCATGATAAGGGTGCAAATGAAGGGTGCAACGGCCTTGGAAGGCCATGTTGGCGTGATTCGATCGGGGAGCGGTCGAAGACCGAAAGATGCAAGGTGCCTCACACGCCCTCACCCTGGTCGAATTGGCGACTGGGCTGGATGGGCCGACAAGCAAGGGTGCAATGGTATTCTTTGAAAGTTGTTCATCCTTACAGTGCGCTTATACTGTAAGATACGTTCAAGATGCGCTCCAATAATCTCCCCACATAAGAAATTTAGCGGCCCTCGTACTTTCACCCCGTGTGGGAAGTTTGGGAAAAACATGGAACGCACCATTATCATGACCACTTGCTCCTCTGAGAGGAGGCAGGACCTGGGAACATACGGCAACGGAGTCAGGGGTGCGCCTGCTGGTGCGTCGCACGATGATGCTGCGGCGCCCCCAAGAAGACGTACAAAACCCACTTTGATGGAACACACGGATCAGGAACAGGTAGAAGACAAGGGAGGGAGCGTAAAGACGGCCGGAGCAAGAGAGACCACACGCTCAAAGTACAGGGCATGCTTAGAGGACGGCCGGTGGCAAGGTGCGAGATTAAATGGGGACGCTAAGCGGGCGTACTGCGAGGAGGCCATGCATGAAAGATGAGAAAGACTGGGACGACGACGATCTAGGCTACCTAACTTCGCGCAGCGCACCCTGCGATGAGCGACGCGCTGTTATCTTCGCGCCCTCGCGTCGCAGCCCAGGAGAAAGGCATCTTTACAATCCAAGACGCGACGAGCGAATCTTGATGCTCTTCGCACCCCTTGGGAAAACCAAGAGGTACCCATACCCCTACTCATCAGACCTCTCCCGGGGCGCGTTCTGACTAAAATTTCAAGGCGGGTCCAGCGGTGGAGACGAGGGCCTCCGAAGGGGCCCAACAAAAAGGAAAACGAGGGTAGGGCAGCACTGTAGGACCTAGGCCAAAATAACATCCTCCAAGTGCATGAGACCCTCTGCCGGCCAAAACACACAGAACATCCAAGTGTGCCCGCCTCAGGATGCACAATAACATCCAACAAGCACGAAGAACACTAGAGCACCCTTCCCGAACCAACCTCGATCTTATGCCTCAGCTCGACTGTACCTTCTTCTCATCAGACCCCTGGGGATGGTCCAGCTGCTGGTCTGCCAGTGCGCGAGGCTCCTCTCGGGCCAGGCGAAAGGGGGGGATAGCAAAGGGGGGGTTTGAGAATCAGCTCATGTAGCTGCTTTTCCCGGCGCCTCCCGGCGCCGGGAGGCGCCCATGTATCGAAGAATGGGCCCCGCGGCGGGGCCGAAACCAGCTGCATGCAGCAAATGTCGTAACCACCCCTTTTAAAACAGGGGTAGGATCGGGATAAATCGATCCAGAGCGTTCCGGAGCGCTCTCAGAGCGTTCCGGAACGCTCTGGAGCGGCCGCGGCGTCCAATACATCCTCCAAACCCGCCGATTCTCAGAGATTTCGAGTTATCCCGATCCGATTTTGTCCCGATCTTCGCGTCGTTTTACCTTTCCCGATCCCCGCCTCTCATCCGGCCCGAGGATGGCCCAGCTGCTGATCTGCCGGTGCGCGCGGCTCCTCTGGCGGGAGCAGCAGCAGCGGGTGGTTGCACAGCTTCTTCAGCAGGGCGATGGCGCGCAGGGCCTGCCGCTCGGGGGTCCGCTCGCCGCCACCCTGCTCTCAACCAGGCAACAATCGGGGAGACGTAAGACCCGGGTACGGGGGACTCGGAAATCCTCGACGAGGTCGTCAAAAAAACGACGAGGCCGAGCCTGCATTTTGACGAGGCCTCCCGCTGCAGACATCCCACAAAACTCCTCCTCGTCAAAATCCGAGTCGCGGTCGTCAAAAAACGATGGCGAACCCGAGTCCTGGCAAACCCGGGTCTTACGCTCCCCCGAAACAACACACCGACGCTTTTTCCGGCCCTGCACTGAAGTCTGCAAACAAGAAAGCGGATCCTGGTGGTGCACACGGGATCCATGGCGTATGCATATTTCGTTGTATCTCTTGGGAAGCGCGGGGGAAAATATACACCACACCACCCCGGCGTCGTACCCGACCCTCAAAAAGTCCGGGGATTCAGGGAACAGCCCGCCACTGGTAATGTATACGTTCCAGCTTCCGATCAACACCACGCCAGGGCGCGCCGGAGAACCGCTGGAGTAAGACGAAGCCAGGACGAGGCCAGGACGAGGACAAGGAATGGAAGCCAAGACGAGGCAAGGACGATGAAAAAATCACGCCGAAAGGCTTCTCGCTGTTTTCGGCCTCTCGGGGCCATTGAAGGGCCTCGGGAGCGTCAAAAGACGACACGGGATGACAAAAACTGGGACGAGAGTAAATTCGGGTGCGGAAAACTCGAGAATCTCTGAGATCCGGCGGCTCTGGAGGATGTCTCGGGCGCCGCGGCCTTCTCAGAGCGTTCCGGAAAGCTCTGAATGAGTTCTGGAAGGCTCTGGAACGCATTCATCCTCGTCTTGGCCCCGCCCGACGTCTGGAATGCTGCTGGACCCCCCCCCGAAGGTCGCAAGGACGAGCACGCCCCGCCTGCAGCACGACCGGATCACAGCCGGTCAGGATGCAAAGGCACTTTAGGGGCTAAGGGCTAGAATGCGCCTGGAGGCAAGGGTGCAAAGGGTGACCTTGGAAAACTGATCATCCATAAGACGTTGCTAGACTGTGCCAGAGTATACTTACCGTGATGCAAGATCCACCCAACGTTTTGCATCGTTTTCACTTCGGGCGGCCTGGAACCCCGCAGACGGCCGCGAGATGGCCGGAGACTGTCCCAAGATGGCTGCAGGCTGTCCTAAGCAGCTCAAATGCCCCGCAATGAAAACCTCAAGACGTCCCAAAAATCAGAGGACACCCACACAAGAGCCACAACATGAGCCCCCTGGCAAGGCCCCTGAGGCCCTGAGGGCACATGCTACTAGAAGCCCTGAGATTTCGATGTCCTTGGCTACTTGGCTCCATATGAAGGCTGAAGAGGGCTCCAAGACGGGTCCAGATACAGACGTCCAGCTCTCAAATTTCGTCGGCGCGTGGACCTGGGAGGTCTGCAGAACTTCCTAAAGGGCCAATTTGTCATCCTGAATCGTTCTTTGACGGTCCTGGGGCCAATGAGGTAAGACGAAGCCAGGACGACGAGGACACCGTGTAAGGATAAATCGAGAACCCCTGAGATCCGGCGGCTCTAACGGATGTCTCGGACGCCGCCCGCGGCCTTCCACAAGAGCGTTCCTGAAAGCTCCGAGAGCGCCCCGCAACGCTCTGGAAGGGATTCGTCCTCGTCCTAGCCCCGTCCGATGACGGCCCCCGAGAGCCCCAAGGCAGCCAGAGAGCCCACCGAGACAGCCCGAGACCGCCTCTACAGAGGCGGTCAGACCTGAGAGGCGGCCGGACGGGTCTGATCCCGATGGTGCCCCGGAACATCCGCAGTCAACCCGTATTCAAGGATGCACGATAAGGGTGCAAGGGCCTTGGAAGGCCTTGTCGACACTCCTCGAGCGGGGCGCGACCAGCGAAAGTGGCCAAGAATGGGCCGAAGGGGAAGGGTGCAAGAGTATCCTTCGGAAGGCCGTTCATCGTCACTATGCGAATTGACTGTATCACATGACGGGCTGAAAGCAAATCCACTCAACATCGCTCCCCGTACCCCTCCCAGGGTCCATCTAGTGGACAGGTTTTACCGTGAAACCAATGTTTACGGCCCCGGGGCCCGATATCGGCCCCAGAGTGCGAACAAAACACACATTAGCCTGGCGAGAGACCAAACCATATGCAGATGTGAGTGCCGCAATTATGAGTCTCTTCTTCGGTGGCACTCCCTATGAGGCCACGAAACATGTGAGGGGAATGCCAACATGGGTGGCGGAACCGCATGCGAACGCAGCCACTGGGGCCTTCGGTGGAGCTCCCTGTGGGGCCACGAAACCTGTGAGGGGTGTGCCGAAATGGGGGTGGAACTGCATGCGGGCGCTGCCGCTGGGGCCTTCGGTGGAGCTCCCTGTGGGGCCACGAAACGTGTGAGGGGTGTGCCGCAATGGGGTGTGGAACCGCATGCGAACGCAGCCACTGGGGCCTTCGGTGGAGCTCCCTTTGGGGCCACGAAACGTGTGAAGGGTGTGCCGAAATGGAAGATGGAACCGCGTGCGAACGCAGCCACTGGAACCTTCGGTGGAGCTCCCTGTGGGGCCACGAAACCTGTGAGGGGTGTTCCGAAAATGGGGGTGGAACCGCATGCGCAGCCACTGGGGCCTTCGGTGGAGCTCCCTGAGGGCCACGAAACGTTTGAGGGGTGTTCCGAAAATGGGGGTGGAACCGCATGCGCAGCCACTGGGGCCTTCGGTGGAGCTCCCTGAGGGGCCAGGAAACGTGTGAGGGGTGTGCCGACATGTGGGTGGAACCGCATGCGAACGCAGCCACTAGGACCTTCAGTAGAACTCACTATAGGACCACGAAACGTGTGAGGGGTGTGCCGAGGAACCGTGTGCGAACGCAGCCACTGTGGCCTTCGGTGGAGCTCCCTATATGGAACTCCCTAAAGGGAGCTCCCTTTCGTGGCCCCATATATGGGGCCACGAAACGTGTGAGGGATGTGCCGAAATGGAGGTGGAACCGCATGCGGGCGCTGTCGCTGGGGCCTTCGGTGGAGCTCCCTATGGGGCCACGAAACGTGTGAGGGCTGTGCCGAAATGGAGGCGGAACCGCATGCGGGCGCTGTCGCTGGGGCCTTCGGTGGAGCTCCCTGTGGGGCCACGAAACGTGTGAGGGGTTTGCCGAAATGGGGGTGGAACTGCATGCGGGCGCTGCCGCTGGGGCCTTCGGTGGAGCTCCCTGTGGGGCCACGAAAAATGTATGAGGGTGTGCCCACATGGGAGTGGAACCGCATGCGAACGCAGCCACTGGAACATTCGCCCCCTATAGGTCCGCAGCCCACCGCATGCGGGCGCTTCGGTTCCCTATGGGTCCACGAAACGGGTGTGCCGAAATGGGGGAACTGCCCACTCGGCTCCCCCCTCGGCCCCCCCCCGCACCCTTCCCCGGCACCCCCCCCTGGCACCCTTCCCCGCCCCCCCCCCCCCGCAACCCCCCCCCATCCCCCCCCGGCACCTCCCCGCGGCACCCCTCCCCAGCCCCCTCTCCCGCACCCCCCCTGGCCCCCCACCCCACCCCCTGGCACCCCCCCCCCCCGGCACGCTCTCCCGGCACCCCCGTCACCCCCCAGCACCACTCCCCCATGGCACCACCCCTCCCCTGCACCACCCCCCCCCCGGGCCTCCTCCCCCGTCGAGCACCTCCCCTGGCCCCCCCCGGCACCTCCCCTCAGGCCCTCCAGCACCCCCTGCAGCACCCCCCGACCCCTTCCCGCCCCCCCCCCGCCCCCCCCCTGCCCCCCCCCCCCCCGGCATCCCATCCAATCCTGGTCCCGCTCCTCCTCGTCCTGTTCCTCTCCCGCCTCTTCCGCAGCGAACCGGGCGGAACCGGAGCGAAACGCATGGCGAACGGGGCCGAACCAGACGGCACCCCTGGCAGCGACGAACCGAACCGAACCGAACCAGAAAATTCCGACGCCGAACCGAACCGAACCGAACCAGACCCACTTCGGAACCTAACCGAACCGAACCGAACCGGACCCTTCATGCATTGTGCGCAGGGAACAGTACCCGGGGACGTACCCAATTGTTGTATACAGTGAGGCGACGATACGGTGGGGGCACTGAATAACAGGAATCCAGGGTCTGGACGCCAATGGAACTTCAATCGTGGGTCGGCCATGGACATCACCTCCGCCCCGCTTGGATCAGGAAGCCCCAGGGTCTACTGGAGGGCGGAAAATTCACACCGATAGTAACCACCCCGACACGCGAAGCCGTTTAGCAAACGCACCAAAAGAAGGAATCAAACAGGGCAGTGCTGTTCAGCAAACGCCCAAGGCCGTTTAGTAAACGCCAATTGTCTTGTCTGGGTGGTTTTTCCTCCCTTGATCTACAGCCGCTTGGGCCCATTCCTGAACCAACGCCCTCACCGTATCCAGGACCGTTCCGCAGAACAGGCGCTCTCCCAGGTTCCGCAGTGCTTTTGACCGCCGCGGTGAGAGAGAACGTCGAGAGAGCCTCCGTCCTCGTCCTCCGCGCCCTCCTCGCCCAGGCACGCGATTTCGGACAACCTGGAAGGTCTTCGTAAAGGAAGGGAGAGACAGCCAACGATGCTACATCAACGGCCGCGATGGACCACCGCTTTGGACCTCCTGGCCGCGACAACCATTCGGCAGTAGGCAACCCCCGTGCGATCCGTCAGGTCCAGTCTGGATGTGCGTGAGATTTTGCTCCTAGGCCTCCATGAGCCCACGAAAAAAGCGACGGTTTCGCAGCTCGCAGCTCCACAGGGAGCCGAGATGTCTAGTCTGGATGTGCGTAAAACACCACTAGGCCAAACCCCCAGGAGCTCACGAAAGTGGCGAGGGCTTCGTAGATCACAGCACCTCAAGACACCACTTGGCTGGGGCCGCGGGCAGCCGATAGTGCGGGGGTGCGTAAGACGCCACTCCGCTGGACCACCAGGGGCTCACGAAAGGCGAGATGGATCCGCAGTTCGCAGCCCCACATGGAGCCGAGACGTCCGCTCCGCTGAGCCCCCCAGGAGCCCACAGAAGCGGCTCGCAGCCCCTCAGGGAGCCGAGAGGTTCAGGCTGGATGGGCGTATGGCAGGGGCTCGACCACTAGAAACCTTCCACAAGAAACCCAACCCTGAGACCCCAGGACGTCCATGAATTTTTATTGTGGGAACGTCACGCTTTCAATCAAAACCATCGAAATCCAAGGACCCAGGGAGGCAAGCAAGGTGTGTATTGGCATGGGGCATGGGTCTCCATTGTAAGACACCACTCCGCTGGGCTCCCCAGGAGCCAGCGAAAAGCGTGATGGGTTCGCGATTCGCAGGCCTCCGCGAGGTCTGTCTAGCCTAGATGCGTGTAAGACACCACTCCGCAGGATGCCGAGGAGCCAACAAAGGGCGCATCAGTCTCGCAGTTTGCAGCCCCCAAAGGACCTGAGAAGTCTTGTCCGGATGTGCGTGAGACACCACTCCGCTGGACCCCCCAGGGGCCCACGAAAGGAGCGACGGTTTCGCAGTTTGCAGCCCCCCCCCTTGAGCCGAGAGTTCCAGTCTGGGTATGCGTAGAACACCACCCCACTGGGTCCCAAGGGGCCGCCGAAAAGCGCGACGATTTCACAGTTCGCAGCCCCCGTGGGAGCCGAAGCATCAGCCCGCCGGGCCCTGGGGAGCCCACGGAAGCGGCGACAAATTCACAGTTCGCAAGCCCCACAAAGGACGACGAGGTCCCAATCTGATCCGCGAAAGGTATCACTCCGCGGGGCCCCCAGAAGCCCACGAAGGGCGCGACGGTTTCGCAATTCGCAGCCACCCATGGAGCCGAGAATGTACAATTTCACTAGGCCGCGAAGCCCCCAGGAGCCCATGGGAGCCGTGATAGCTTCGCAGCTCGCAGCCCCAAAGGAGCCGAGCAGTCTAATGTCGATGCGCGTGAAACACCTCTCCGCTTGGCCCCCAGATGCCCACGAAAGAGGCGACGGTTACGCAGTTCGCATACCCCCACCAGAGCCGAGAAGTCTAGTCTGGATGTGGGCGAAGCCGACCTTTACTGGGCCCCCGGGAGCTTACGAAAGGCACGACGGCTTCGCAGTCCGCAGCCCCAGAGGGAGTTGAGCGGTATAGTTTGGATGTGTGGGGGACACATCCCCGCTTGGACCCTCCAGGGGCTCGCGGAGATGTCCTCCCAAGAAGCCGAGAGGTCCAGTATGGACGTGCGTAATCCACAACTCCTCGGGCATCCCTGGAGCCCACGAAAATCGTGTCAGTCTCGCAGTTCGCGGCCCCACAGCAGGGAGCCGAGTGGTCTAGTCTGGATCTGCGTGGGGCACCAGGAAACTGTTGCCGCGTTTGTGGGTTCCTGGGGGTCCAGTGGAGTGACGTGTTACGCGGACCAGACTGAGACCTCACCGTCCCTGAGGCTTTGCAAACTGTGAAGCTGTCGCCACTTTGGTGGGCTACTCGTTGTCCCAGCGGGGTGACGTCTGACGCGGATCCGAAGGGAGACCTCGCCGTCCCCTCGGTGCTTCCGAACCGTGAAGACGTCGCCACTTTCGTGAGCTCATGCCATCCCAGCGGAGTGACGTCTTACGCGGACCTGACTGAGACCTCGCCGTTCCGTCGAGGCCTGGGAAGGAAATTGCCGCCACTTTCGTGAGTTCTCGGGGGCCCATCGGAGTGACGTCCTACGCGGATCAGAATGAGACCTCGCCGTCCCCTCAGGGCCTGCGGACTGTGAAGCTGCCGCGCCGTTCGTGGGTATCTGGCGGTATCTGGTGGGCGCAGCGTCGCAGTTCGCAGGCCCCCCCAATAAACGGCGAGGTATGTTGTTGATCCGCGTGAGACGCCACTCCGCTTGCCCCCAGGAGCCCGAGAAATCGGAGCGAGGTCTCAGTCTGATCCGTGTACGACGGCACTCCACTGGGCCCCGGGGAGCTCACGAAAGTGGCGGCAACTTCGCAGTTCGCAAGCCCCGAAAAGGACGACGAGGTCCCAATTTGATCTGCGAAATGTACCACTCCGCTGGACCCCCAGAAACCCACCAATGCGGCAACAGTTTCACAATTGACGGGGACGGCGAGGTCTAAGCCTGAGCTGCGCAAGACTTCACTCGAGTTTGCCCCAAGAGCACCAAAACCGGCGCGAGGTCGCAGTCTGTTCCGCGTAAGACGTCACTCCGCTGGGCCCACAGGAGCTCACGAAAGTGGCGGCAATTCCACAGTGGCGACAATTCTATAAGGGGACGGTGGACGGCGAGGTCTCAGTCAGATCCGCGTAAGACGTCACTCCGCTGGGCCCCAAGAAACCACGGAAGTGGCGATACATGCGCAGTTCGCAAGCCCTGCGGAGACGGTGAGGTCTCAGTCAGATCCGCGTAAGACGTCACTCTGCTGAACCCCAGAAGCCCACGAAAGTGGCAAAGGTTTAGCAACTCGCAGACCCCGAGGGGACGGCGAGGTCTCAGTCTGACCCGCATAAGACGTCATTCGGCTGGCACCCATGGAACCCACGAGAAGGGCGACGGTTTGGCAATTCGCAGGCGATGAGGGGACGGCGAGGTCCCAGGCTGATCCGCATAAGACGTCATTCCGCTGTACCCCCCAGGGGCCCGCCAGAGTGGCGACAGTTTCGCAGGTCGCAGACACCCAGGCTGCGCGAGCAGGAGGAATGAGAGAAGCGAGCAAGCAGAGAGGCGCGCCCACATTAGCGCCTAGGCGTCGCTGTGCAACCGCCCTAGGCTGGGTGATGAGGAAGACTAGAAGCAGAAAGAGGAAGGATGAGGTGTGACGGAGAGCGCGGTAACAATGACATAAAGAAAAGCTTTCGGAGGTTCACGCTGATTGCTTGGTTCGGCGCTGGACCCCCCCTCCCTGGCGCGCGGAGCGCGCAAGGGGCGGCGCCGGAGGAGCCGCTGGAGCACTCCAACGCCGGTCCGAGAAATCCGCGGGGGCCTCCGACTGTTTGTGCTGATGTGTGCGTTGTTCCCCGACGTGACTTGGCGGCGCGCACAAGGCGGTGGAGGGAGGGGGGAAAGCTTCTTAGAAGGGGCTGGTTCTAAGAAGGGGCTGGCCTTCCACAGATGAGGCCCGCGCCTTCTAAGAAGCAGGGGTGCATCTGAGAAGCCCTCCCCTCTCCCCCGGCCCTGTGCGACCACACTCGGCATCGGCGCCCGCCGCAAGCCCTGGGCCTCCATCCCGCACCTGCTCTGGCCCGACGCGCTCTTCACCTGGGACGCGGCGTCGCCCGCGCCGCGGGGATCCCCCCTCTCGCTTGTGCTAAGATGGGGCCTTGAGGGATGGGGCCTTGAGGTCGAAGCTTTCCAGAGGAGGGGGGAGGAGGATGAGGAGGAAGGGGAGGAGCAGGAGCAGGAGGAGGAGGAGGGAGAGGGAGGAGGAGGAGGAGGAGGAGGAGGAGGAGGAGGAGGAGGAGGAGAAAGGGGGTCTGGTCAGGGGCAACGTTAGCGGGGGGAGATTGGCTCCAGGCCTCCCAGACGGGGCTCGAGTCGGTGGGGCCGGTGGACCGCGCCGTATCGCCGATGCATCGGGGATTCGGCTCGATGTGGAGCCCGATTTTCTCCGCACCGACGACACCGCTGCGACGAGAGCCTGCGACCCCAACAACCCGGACACCGCCGGGGAGGCTTGTATGCGGGCGAGGAGCCTCAAACAACCCGATTTCCACTTGGGACCCCTCCTTCCTCCTCCTCCCTCCTCCTCCTCCTCCTCCCCTCCTCCTCCTCCTCCACCTCCTCCCCTCCCCTCCTCCTCCTCCTCCTCCTCCTCCTCCTCCTCCTCCTCCTCCTCCTCCTCCTCCCCCTCCCCCTCCTCCTCGTCCTCCTCCTCCTCCTCCTCCTCCTCCTCCTCCTCCTCCTCTTTGTCCTCCTCCTCCTCCTCCTCCTGCTCCTCCCCTCCTCCTCCCCTCCTCCTCCTCCTGGTCCTCCTCCTCCTCCCCTCCTCCTCCTCCTCCTCCTCCTCCTCCTCCTCTCTTCCTCCTCCTCCTCCTCCTCCTCCTCCTCCTCCTCCTCCTCCTCCTCCTCCTCCCCCTCCTCCTCCTCCTCCTCCTGGTCCTCCTCCTCCGCCTCCTCCTCCTCCTCCTCCTCCTCTCCTTCGGGCCCTATCCCTCGGGGCCCCATCTCTGAACCGCCGAACCTCCTCCTTTGGCCTGCCCAGTGACCCCATCGCGCCGGGAATCGATCCCAGCCCAGGGTTTTGGCCTCCGCGGGGGTGGTGGGGGCGTCAAAGCACGGCTCGGGACGACGAGAACCGAGGGTTTTGGCCTCTGGGGGGGCGGTTCGTCAAAGGCACGGCTCGGGACAACGGGAAGCGGGTCCCCTGCGAAGGTGTTCCGTTCTGGACGCTGAAGTTCTGGGCCCTCGTCTGGCGGGATCTTGGCTGCCATCTCAAAGCGCTGCCTGCTGCTGGCTGCCGCCGCGCCGCCCCCGACGCCGCTGGTGGCTGCCGCCGTCGCCGCGAAAGATCCAGTGTAATCTTTCGACTCTTTTTTCTTGTCCTCCTCTCTCTCTCTCTCCTTCTATGCGACCTCCTCCTTCCCCTTCCCCTATTCCTATCCGCCCCCATCCTCCTCTCCACCTCGCAGGATACGGCCAACCCCCCAGCGTCCCAATTACTCCTCCCCTCCCGAAAAGGAGCACAATAAGGTGACCGAGACAAGGGGCGGGCAGGAGAGTTAGAAGAGTGACGAGGAGCCGACGGAGACGGGCTTGCAAGGGTCACCACCCCAGGCCAATGAGGGACCATGCCGCGAAACTTAGGCCAGCTTCGCAGGAGCTGCCGAACACGGGCGAAGGAGGACAAGGAGGAGGAGGAGAGGGAGGAGGAGGAGGAGGACTAGAAGGAGGAGAGAAAGGAGGAGGAGGAGGAGGAGGAGGAGGAGGAGGGAGAGAAAGGAGGAGGAGGAGGAGGAGGAGGAGGAGGAGGAGGGAGGAGGAGGAAGGAGGAGGAGGAGGAGGAGGAGGAGAGGAGGAGGAGGAGGAGGAGGAGGGGGAGGGGGAGGGGGGGGGGGGAGGGGAGGAGGAGGAGGAGGGAGGAGGAGGAGGAGGAGGAGGAGGAGGAGGGGAGGAGGGGGGGAGGAGGAGGAAGAGGAGGAAGAGGAGGAGGGGAGGGGAGAGAGGGAAGGGTGTGTTGGGGGGGCGGCTCCGTGTGCCGCCCTGATAACTCGGGACGAACCTGGCCGTGGCGTCGAGGACGCCGCCCACCCAACGCGCCCAACAAACTTCGGTCCTTGGTATCCGCTTCGGTCTTTGATCCTTGATTCTCCACCTCCTCCTCCTCCTCCTCCTCCTCCTCCTCTTCTTCCTCCTCTCTTCGGTCCTCGATCCTCCTCCTCGGGCTCGGTCCTCGATCCACTTCAATCCTCCATCCTCCTCCTCCTTTCCGGGGGAGGAATGTGTCGCCGCGCCGTTTGTCCTCGACGCGACCTAGTGGACGACGCAGACACCACGGCAAACCCACGGTAAACCCGCGCCTCAGGTGGAAAAGACCAGCACCGCGGCAAACCCCACGGTAAACTCACAGCGTCCGAGGCGGAGTCTGCCCTGGTGGCTGCGTCGCCCTTCCAAAAAGCAAGGCCGCACGTCGGAACAAACGGCGCGGCGACATGTGAGGATAAGGAAGACGACGACGACGACGACGACGACGACGACGACGACGACGACGACGACGACGACGACGACGACGACGACGACGACGACGACGACGACGTGGGAGCAGGAGGCCCACGAGGGCGAGGAAGATGAAGAGGAGGACGTAGACGCGGAGAAACCAGCACAGAAAACGAGTCGTTTTCTGTGCTGGTTTCCCGGACCCTTCCCCGGCCCAGGGGTGGGCGCGCCAGGTCCGTGTCGAGGACCTTGCCGTACAGCTCGAGCTCTGCGTGCGTCTGGCTCAGCCTCGCGGGGCGGGCACCGGGGGGAGGGCAGGAGGGCGGGAGGAACGGAGGTCCGCGCCCCGGCACGCAGCGCCGCCGACCCGCGCGCCCGTGCACGCGCCCACGGGCTGCCCGCAGCCTGCGACTCCGACCGACCGCCCGCCCCGCGGCTGCGCCCGACGCCCGCGCGCGGCCGCCGACGAGCGCGGGCGGGAGCTCCCCGCGCAGGCAGGCGCCCGCACGGGCGAGCTGCCCGGTCCTGTGTGGCCCGAGGAGGAAGCACCAGGGAGAGCCCGAGGAGGAGCGAGGAGGAGGGAGGACCAGGGGACAGGAGCACCTCTGTTGGTTCGCCAGGCGCTTTGGACCTCGGGAGATCTCCAGGGAACCTCTGGGAATTTCTGGTGACCGCGGATGAAAGGAGCGGATGAGGTCGGAGGAGAGTTGATAGGAGAATGCGTACGACTAAGGATGAGGGAGGATGAGGAGAGACCCGGATGGAGGATGGCGCATGATGGTGGATGAGAATGGGCAAACAATGCTGGCGATGAGGGCGAGGGAGGCAGCACACAACACATGGCGATAGCAAGAAGAGATCACACGAGGAGGGCCGAGGATGAGCAGAGGGTGAGCAGCAGCAGCAAGAGGATGAGCAGCAAAAGTACGAGGACGGGCGGGGAACACAGAGAAGGTGCGCAGGTAGCTGACCAACAGGAACTCGAGGAGGAGGAGGCCGAGGGTCCCGCGCACCGACTTGGCCACCCAAGAGCCGAGATGGGTATTCACACGAGACGGGCGTCACCAAGTCGACACCCTGGGCGAAGACGACTACTCCAGGCCCCACCTCAGTAGTACGTTGCGTCGACCACCGTGACCTCAGCTGCGAGTGGACGAAGGATTGCATGCTTCTGAGTGCAATCCACCCTGGAGCCATGTTCGGACCGCGCCTGGGGCGCTGGGACCCTATCGGTGGCCCCCCAAATTGCCCTAAGTTAGCCGAAGACGGCCTCAAGAAGGTCCAGGATGGGCAGAGACAGCTCCAAGATGGCCCCGGAGGGCTCCACGCGGGCTCCGAGAGAATCCAGAAAGGGGCCAATGGGGTCCCAAGACGCTGCAAAGACGACCCATGCCCCAATGAGGAACCCCCAAGAGGCAGAATGTTGCGAGGCGGAGCTTCAAGAGCTTCCAGAAGGTGTTTGTGTGTGCGCATGTATGAATGTAACATGTTATGGTCGCCGTCTCGGTCTCAAGATTGTCCGAGCTGGCTCAAGGGCGGCCGAGAAGGATTCCAAGTACGTGGGCTCAAGAGGGGCCCAACATTACCTAAGAAGGGCCCGAGTCTGCCCCGGGGGTCACCGAGACCGCTCCTGGAGGGGATCAAGGCGGCACAAGGCAACCCCGAGGCGGCACATGAATGGCACAATACAGCCCCAAAACTGCTTTGAAAACGCCACCGAGAAGACCCACAAACAGCGTGAAGATGACCCCGAGAAGCCCGCAACAGTCTTCCAAGCGGGTCCACGACCCAAGCACGGTGGCAGGATGGTCCGAGGACCACTGGATACATGCTGGCGCATCGATCGAAAATACGCCGTGGAGCGAGCGAGACGGAGGACCTTGTGGCAACAACGCGCCAAATTGTGGTTCTGATGGAAAAATATCCGGAAACGATGTAGCAGGCAGTATGTTGCCGCTTGGGATGGCTTTGGGAAGGACGGCCAGGAGAATCTCAACGAAGACGACGACGATGCCCACGAGCAGGCCCGGAACCCAATCGATGGACAGTTGCGCAAGGTGCTGCTGCGTGACGGCCCCCACGGGCATTTCTCACGCGTCCTCCTACACTGGCGCAGTGCAGCGTCATTCCTCACAACGGTACCCCGTAGCGGTCCAGAAGATGAGCTGGGCAACGCTCGGGTCGACACTCGAACCTGATCCTGCGCCCCTGACAACACCACGCGGGCGTGCGCACAACAGGACTTCACGCACTGGCAGCGGGCGTGCTTTCTCTATCCAGACAGCGCGATTATTCCAAGGGACTGTTTGACCGCCGCAGGTGAAACACGAGGAGCAAAAACAGGCGGGATCCCGTGGGCGAGCATGGACCAAGCTGTAAAGTCCGAGGCGGCCACGCCATGCGCCGAGCAGAAGACAACGCCAAACCAACGCGCCCACACATATCCGCTTTTGCTCTCTCGCTGGTGTCGTCAACCTTGCCCTGTACCGTCCTGTCCGACCCTTGCCGGCAGGGGCCCCGATGGAGCGGGAACAAAAACAATCGAGCATACGCATAGCTCTTTCGGAGTCGCAAGGATCCTCGCGTCTTGCGTTTCAAATGTAATGTTACAGACTTCGTAGTCGAAATCGAGAACAGCACTCGCCTCTGTCTGCTCGGAGGCTGGAGGATAGAAGGGACAAGCATTTAAATCATTAATGACGAATGCTTCGCGCCCGTTGCCTGCGCGACGGCGGCATGCACGAAACACACCACGATCGACTAAACCAAGGATGAAACACTCTTGGGCGTAAGTCAAGGACCTCTGGGTGTGGTGAACGTACGCCGCGATACCGACAGTACGAATGCTCCGACGCAAGGGATTCGATGGCGCGCGTTACACTCCCCTGCCAGCCCTCTGAGGTGCAGGAACCCTGGGGATATCTTCTACGCTCCTCTGTGCAATCCTTGCACCCAAGCGGAGAGGTTAACCTCCCTCCCGACCCTCTCTCCATTGTCCCTACTTTAACGGAGATCTACATGTCAATGCTTCATGTTTCCGAGATGCCGAGCACATCATAACACAACATGTGATGTTCCTTTCTGACCCCAAATATTGCCTCCGGCGGACCTTCTGTTTCGAACACCACCCGTCCCTTGTTATAGAACAGCTTCCAGGACGGCCCAATAGGCCCCCAAACGCTCCCAAGGGGCCCTCATACGGCTCAAGAGGCCGTCGAGACAGCCATAGGGACAAGAGACGTTAAAGAAAAGCACTCAACAGGCCCACTTGAAAACCACGCGACGGAACGAACGACCCCCAACATGAAGGGCCTCAGACGGCCAAACAGGCTCCACAGACGGCCCAAGTCAAGTGGCCTTCTAGAGTCGTCCGCCAAGCTGGTCTAAGTAGCCAATGATAGAACACCCACTACCGCCTGAGAGGATCTCAAGAGACTGTCAAGGATCCCAAGAAACTTCCAAGACGACTTCTGGGACGTCCGGATGCGTCCAAGACGGCACCGAGACCCCCCGAGACTGCTGAATGCGCCTCGTATTAGACGACCGAAGACGACACCAACGAGCTGGCGAGAGAGATGCTACCTTCATTTTGATGTGACTCTTCCGCTCGCTCCTCTAGATCATCGCCCCTCGCTCTTCTCTGCCAATGCTCAAACGCACAGGGACAAATCCTTTTCACACATCACCGTACCATGCTATACAGTATCGCACTATGCCAGGCGGGGATACAGTTATCGACCAGACTACTACTCACAAGCAGAAGCCGAAGCCTGGGAAACAGCAACAGCAAGGAGCGGACACAATGAGAGCGAAGCAGCCAAGCAATTGTAAGTTGCCCCCCCCCCCCCCTGCGAACAGGTGACACATCTGGCAAAGGGGCGCTCCCCAAAAAGAACGGACAACAGTAAAACACGCGCAGGAAAAGCAAAACCCCTAAACGAGACAAAAATGGAGGCGGGAACTTAAGCGAGCGCGAGCCTTCGACGGCAGGGGGACCCAGACCGATGAAGGGCACGACTTGGAGCAGGAGGACAAAGGTCCGCCGATCCCCGCTTGCCACGGTGAGAAGGCGTGTGAGGTATTTGGTTGCGGCCTTGCCCCGTCCGACACACATACCACTGCTCCTGGCCAGGCCCACCGGTATAGTAGTAACGGTAAATGTAGTAGCAGTAGTAATGGTAGAAGAAGAGGTAGTGGTAGTAGTAGCAGTAGTAGTAGTAGTAGCAGTAGTAGTAGTAGTAGTAGCAGTAGTAGTAGTAGTAGAGGTAGTAGTAGTAGTAGTGCTACTAGTCGTAGCAATGGTAAACATACTAGTGATAGTATTGGTAGCGGTCGTAGTAGCGGTAGTAGTCGTAGTAGCAATAGCAATCGCAATCGTAGCAACAGCAATCGAAGTAGCAGTCGTACTCGTCGTATTAGCAATCGTCGTCGTAGTAGTAGTAGTAGTAGTAGTAGTGGAGGTAGTCGTAGTAGTAGTAGTAGTAGTAGTAGTAGCAGTAGTGTTAGCAGTAGTAGTAGTAGTAGTCGTCGTAGTAATAGTAATAGTAGTGATAGTAGCAGCAGTAGCCGTATAAATACAGCAGTAGTAGTGGTAGTAGGAGTAGTAGTAGTAGTGGTAGTAGTAGTAGTAGTAGTAGTAGTAATAGTAGTAGTAGTAGTAGTAGTGGGAGAGGTAGAATATAGAAGTAGGAGAGGTCGAACAACAAGTTTTAATAGTAGTAGAAGCCGTAGTAGTAGTTGTAGTAGCAGTAGTAGTAGTAGTAGTAGTAGTAGTACCAGTAGGAGGGGCAGTCGTAGTAGTAGTAGTAGTAGTAGTAGTAGTAGTAGTAGTAGCAGTAGTAGTAGTAGTAGTAGTAGTAGTAGTAGTAGTAGTAGTAAAGGTAGTAGTAGTAGTAGTAGTAGTAGTAGTAGTAGTAGTATTAGTAATAGTAGTAGTAGTCGTAATAGCCGTAGTAGTAATAGGAATCGTACTAATGTTACGAATGGTAATAATGCTTGCTATTGTTGTTGATGTTATGTGTGATGGATCCTCACTTCTCAAGAACAACAGTTGCTGATCCCCGCCTGCCCCGTAGCCACTGAATGTCAGCAGTTCGCGTGCTTTTCCCAGGGTTCGCACTTTTTTTGCGGTACAAGGGGGAGCTGGGAGTCACCAAACTGTACCCCTGGTCCCCCCTTTGCAACAGCAACGGCTCCCGCCTTATACTTCCTCACAGCTTGTTTCGAATACGCGCTCTCGCGCGGGACTTCCTCATTATGTATGCAGGATTCGCGCTCTGGCCTGGGAC